GTTTGTGAAATCTACAGCGAGTCACGTGACGTGTTCTGCGTGTTAAACAGCACAGTTCCATACGCGATTACAGCAACTCCCGAAGGACCAAGGAAGGAGCATCAGCAGAGGGAATGCTGCTGGTTGGGCACGCAGAACCCCATTGGTCTTGGATGAGGCGATGTAGCCACACCTCTCTCTGTCAGCCACACCTCCGCGGCAGTGCTGCTCCACATGGCCGTTGCCCACTCCGTACCTCCTGCCATCCCCGTGCCTCCTCACGAGCTTCGACCTGTCACAGCCGCGGAAATGCCATCCATGCGCTGGTGGGGAATGGTGAAGATTGGGGATTCTGTTGGCACGGCATGGGCGGTGATTTGGGCTCCTGGGTCCTGGCTTGCCAGAATGCTATGGTTTGGTTTGGTCGGTCAGCGTCAGGGGCTAGTACATTTGGCTGGTGTGGCTAGAGATTGCTGCCCTGTGCACCCCGCCATCATTTTTTTGACAGCCTCCCGACCTACAACCAGAAACTCGATTCGTTGTGGACGCCAGCGCACCTCGTCAATCGTCGGGAGCACATGACGGTCAGACGTCACGTTCCACAGAAGTTCATTTCCGCGAATGTCATCAACAGGCACGAGTACATTGCCAAGTCCAGCGCTCTTGCCAACGGAAAAGTAACATGACTTTCTGTACCTGAAATTACACCTAGTCCGCGGTATTTTAACCACGTGAACTGTTTTGTTTCAAACACCCTTTATTCGTTTTCGGGTAATGAGATGGGCATCCAGAGACTTCGAGGTTATTATTTTACAGCGGGATGCCTTTCCGTCTGAAGAAACGCACACTTAGTGGTCCGAGATAGGGGGAATATCGGTATTGGCAGAGTTTTAACTGCCGTGATCTCGCGACGGGAATGCTAGATTCTACCCTCATTAATTTTCCAGCTACTCGTTTAAACAAGTTTGACCAAGGAGAAGTACCCTCGCGCGGGTGAGATAGCGGCGGTTAAAATACCGCGGACTAGGTGTACTGTATTGTACAAATAATATGGATCTGTATGTGCACTCATAATGCCCCGCAGTGTCAACAGTAACGCTGCTAGGAAGAATGACCTCAGCATTTGGGTGCACGAGAGGGACAGAGAATGCTGGATGCCAGATGTCTTGCTTCGGCTTCTAGTGCAAATCCACCACCGTTGTCCAGCACGGAGATACGGATCGTGCCACGTTATTTGCGGTGAAGCCGCGGCCAATAGTCGCTGTATGATTTTCTACAGTTAGCCCCCGGATATACAAGGAGCGTCGTTGAAAGTACCATTAGTCAGGATCAAGTGGATTTTCGCAGTTATATGCAACATTTTCTGAACATTTGCACTGTAATGCGTGCAAATTATCCAACAGAAGGCAACGGGTTTGTGTATTTTCTCCTTTCGCAAAAGATTACAAGTCAGATCCCCGAAGTTTAGAATTTAGTTGCATGAAGCAGTCGGCCTGGTTTGATTTGATCCTAGCTGTAGTCTCTGTGTTTACAAGAGTGTCTCAAAGAAAGTGTGCCCGGCATTTTCAAGGTTCCCGAAAACAGTTGTTGTTAGAAAATGAGATGCGATATCTCCCAGTGTTTGTATCGAATGAGGTGTCGAAATTTCCATACGGTCGTGTAGTTGTGAACGGAAAGGGATTGGAAAAGGGATTTTCCTGCCAAGAAGTTCAGGGTGAACCTTCCATTTGATTCGATCTTGGGATCAGAAAGGCAACGGCAGGTGATATACACTCGATATCATTTTCAGTAGCATATATTTTCATGGTGAATGGCATATGCTAGGGACACTAACATAATCGACATATTTTTTTTGGAACGGGAACCAGTAAACATGCCATTTATCATACTTTCATTATAATTTAATTATACTTGGATTGCAACAAATTATTTGTTTTTTTTTCGTTCTATAAATAAAGGCAGAAACTCAACCTGATGACATACCATCGCGTAAGGCGTGAACCCTATACGTTCGAGACGTTGCGAATGCTGCTCCAGTTCTCCATGGATTTTATTTTTGCCCTTGACCGTGGTGATGGATTTTAATCGGACTGAGGAACACTTTGTTGGGTTAGGGTGGGGCAGAGCGATTGCACAGCTGGGATTATCTTGGTGTATCTGGATAATCATGGATAATCAAATATGGTCCAATTAGGAGCAAGATCCAACCTAAATGGGCCTTTTTTTTTAACAAGCTGATATAAACATCGTTTTCCCTGCAAGCGCCAAGTAATGATGCGTTACTGATAGTGTTCTGCACATCGGCTTGGCTTGTAACTTATTTACATGAGCTAGTGAATACACCTTGGGGGTCACGGTAGGGGATGCTGTTAAACGATCATCAAGTGCGCCCGCCAAGGCTGGCTTGCTAGCTTGGGTTGCACGAACCTCTCGCTTGTGGTGGACTTGTGGAATGGGGAAGACAGTTTGAAAGCAGGCAGTGGTCCCCTTCCACCAGCTGACTTCATTTCGCCTCCGTTCCGCGCACATCCTCCCCCGCAGCTGCATTGCTTCGACCTTGCGCGCATGTCCTCCTCCCGGCTGATGCGATTTTTGCTCTATCCACCCTTGCCAAAGTTGCTTGAAACAAACACCTCTCCGCGGCTCTGATCTTGCCGCGGCAGGGCCGCGGGTCATGTCATGGGGTTGACGAGGAGCCGGTTTTCAAACTTGAACGAGGCTGGCTAGACCCTTGAAACGTATCGAACCGTCTTGCTAATTATTTAAATCACTTTGCATCCCAGCATATCCTCCGAGCCTGAGGTTCGGCAGTCTCCCCAAGCTCGAGGGCCACGAGCACCTGACTTTTCTGAGACGAAAAGTGCTCATGGTGGTTTCTTCCTGACCACGCAAAACGCTGCACCCTTGTGCAGCTTTCTCGAGAATCTTATATGGATGGATTCTCTGCTCAGACAGACTTCGCCTCCCACCCCACCACCACCCGGACAACAGCTGCTACTTGAACGCTGCACCGTTTGCTGTTGCTCTGAACCTTTGCCTAACGCTCTAAACGCCAATTTGACCGTTGGGGAACGCAACGATCTTACAAACAAGTTTTCTTTTGGGAAAGCTTGTATTCTGGGCATTAGTTTCTAGTCTCAGCCTAAGTTTCTAGTCCATAGCTTCTTGTTGTGCTCCTGTCTTCATCAACATTACCCCTCGTCGCCTCTTTTTGTCACGACTTCGAAGTCGAAACGATTTGTTCAATTTTCTTCCGGCTTGTTTGCTTCGGAAGAGCGATCAACGCTTTTGTATGGACTCCAGTGGAGACCAGAGCTGGAAGAGGTCAGTGTTCGACCTCTTGCGCTTTACTTCACACCCCTCCTTGCTTCTTCCTGCCGCTGTCGATCTGCACGCATCGCCTAACCCGTCTACGTTCACGTCCCCATCCGACGCCTCTTCCGTGCATGTGTTGGGTCCTTCGTGGCGTCTTCATAACACGACCGCGACTTCCAATTCTCGAATCGTCCCCTACTCCGACCATCTCCACTCCAGCGCCGGCAATAACCCGATCCAGCGAAGGTCATCCGGGAGCTCGTCGTCTCCTTCTTCAGACCCTTTAGGAAGACCGTCACGACAAAATTCCTACCGTGACGAGCGTCGGCGATTTGGCGATCAACCGTTCCCAACATATAATCGCTTCTCCTCCTCCTCTTCCTCATTATCCGGCGGCCAAAATCGTGGACAGCCGCAGCAGCGTCGTCGTCCCGGCATGTCATTTCAAAGCAATTCATTTCGGTCACACGGGGGAGACCCTGTCGAGGCTCATCTCGCGCACGCCGTTTCGGAGCTTGCTGCGACGAGATCTCCACCGGCCGAAGAGCTTCTGGGGTTTTCGGAGCAAGATATTCAAGATGCTAATCAATCTGATGGTCAAACAAAGACGCGAAGGGCACTAGTCGGAGGGACGAACCCCCCAGCTGCTCGCATGATGTCTCGTCGTGCGATCCTGGTGGTGACGGTCTTCCTGTTTCTACTTATAGTGCTGCCAGCACTTCTCCCGAGGATTTCTCCTCCGCCTTCGGCGCTGCTGGTTATTCCCGTGATGCTCATGTTCATGCTGGTATATCTAGCTCTGGCTCCTCACCATCTTCCGGGGAGGAACCACGTTTACACATAGCACTCTCTCGGCTCTTAGCTGTCTTGGCTCTTAGCTTAGTGCTCTCTCAGAGCTTCTGTTGCTAAATAAGCTTTTCTTTTCAGGCAATCTTTGAAGAAGTTTCAAGATCATCGAAATTGATGCAGAAGATTAATTCACCCCTTTGAGCTAAATGGCTGGTTTGGCGGCTACATGATTGTACAGCCAAACGCAATCCAGTATGTAAGGCCAACCACAAGCATACCAAGATTTCTCGCCATCCATCTGGATCTCAATTCATTTTTTATCCAGGATTCAATTACTACCACTTGCGACAAGGCCTTCGCATTCCTGAACTGCAACACATGCAATGCAAGTACTCACATTAACATTGCCTACAATGGTGTAAGGGTACATTCCGCTGTGGACCATGTCCCAATCGATGTGTCCGAATCGATTGTGACGCGTACGTACAGCATATGCTGCCAGGTGTCAGAATGGCGGGCCGCCCGTGGTTGTCGCCAAATGTATTTATCATTGGGTGACGTGAAACACGGAGCAGTCGCCAGCTAATTGCAACACATTCCATTAGTCGCACGCGGTGCCAAATATCAACACATGCAGCATGTATCTAGACGACATCTCCCCAAAACCCACTATCCCCATCAACGCGTACACTGCGTAGTGATTGGTCCAGACGACACACCTGGAATTATTGACAGGGACGCGCACGTCCCCGCCAGCGCGCCTTCCCCCAGTTCCAATGCTCCTTCCCCACAACTCCTCCACCTCCCAACACCTTACGGGTTCATCTTCGTGCACCATCCTTCCTGTTCCAATCTGTTCATTTCTCTCTGCTCCCGCTCCCTAAAGATCTAGATCTAGAAGCACTCTATCCGCCAGCATGGCTCGTAAGCGTAAGGGGCAGGCCCTTAACGACTGCCCCAAGGATCTTAACGACATTCCTTACATCCGCTGGATGAACCAGCAGATCGCCAACGGGCGCCATCCGAAGGGATTATCCGCGCCGCCCGTGCTTGACGGCCAGGGATCCAGTGCACAGTCGCCCAGTGCGGCCCCGTCACGTGTGCGCCGCCAGCCTGCAAGGACGGCTGCAACACACCGGCTTGTCGTGGAGCAAGATGCTGACGATGACGATGATGACGACCCCGAACAAGGCCTCGACACCGACGACGACGAGGAGGAACCGGAAGACGCTGGGATGTCGCCCAGCGACGGCGACGACGAAGATGAGGACGCCGAGGACGACGCGGAGGAGGAAGCGCAACCAGTGTCTCAGCCGCCGAAACGGAGCGCCGCACGCGCATCTGGGACGAACAAAGGCAAAGGCAAGGCGGCGCCACCACCACCACGCCAGGAGCCACGGAAGAAGCGGTCGGCTGCACCAGTCGAGAGGGGCTTATGGTCGGACAAGGAGAGCACCATATTCGTCGCGGCGAAGTGGTTCATGAAAGAGGAGCTCGAGTCTCTCAAGGGGAAGCAGGGGACGCAATACTGGGTCCGACTACTCGCGCACATCAAGGAGTCGAACCATGGATGGTGCAGGGGTGTCAACGCGTTGCAGAAGCAGTGGCGTAACTTGACGCTCCTCTGGCGGGAGTACAAGCGTGGCGACGGGGGGTCAGGCCACGGCTCGGTTGAGAAACCACCGTGGTATCCGTACCTGGAGCTGCACAACCAGAACACCGCCGCAGCCGCACCGCATGCGGTGGACGACGGCGGCGCCACGGACGTCAACGTGCCGGCCGGCATGGAGGTTCCAAGTTCGTCTCAGCCAGGCACGTCAACACCAACCTTTACAGGTGAGTCGTGCTTCTATCACCTCTAGCTTGATATGCGTTTGACTTATCGTAGTTTGAATACGAAGAATCCGTTTATTTTATTCGCCAATATGCAGGTTACATCAAACAAGGGTAGTCGGACTAATCGATTCTACTATTTTCCCCGCTCCTCTATCACAGCTCCGCCGCCGCCGACCACCGCAACACCTTGGCGCGCACGGGTGCATGAGACGGCTACCATGCAAGCAGCCATGCTGGTCTCCGCGACCATCAAGGATTGTCACGGTGACGCGATGACGCGCATTGAGAGCCTCGTCCGTGAATGGATGGCGTAGGACATGCGACTTGCCCGCGAGCGCATGACTGAATCGGCGCCCCCGGACGTGCACCGTGCGCCGCCGGATTTCAGCCCTCCTCCGCCACGCGGGGAGTCCGCACCACCTCCCGAAGCCGCACAGCATGGCGACGATGTTGGCGACGTCAACACCGTCACTCCGGGTGCTGAGGATGTGGAGATATGGGTGCGCGGCGCCGACGATTAGCGTAAGAGTCCTGTAGGGCCTCACCCAGTCTTTTCCGCCTCTCTCTCAGAGCCTGTTGTGTTGGGGGAACACAGGGTTCCCACTTGTGTGTCGCAATGGCACCCCGTTTCCACCAAGAGTCGAGGTTGCGGGGCGGATTGAACCAGGCCATGTTCTTGCGCCTTACGACTGCCATCTCTTCACACATGTTGTGCAGGATCACACAACACGCGGCTCCTGCGAGAATGCGCCACAACCTGCAGTCGTTGCGCCCGCCGAAGATGCGCCATCTCCCTTTGAAGGCGCCGATGCACCTTTCCACCGTCATGCGTGTGGCGCTCTGGCAGTAGTTGAAACATTGGGCCCAATCGTCCATTAGGTCCTCTCCGCGCGGAGCATGCAGGGGGGTTAGGCAGTATTCTCGTAGCGGGTAGGCAGCATCCCCAACAATCTGGTATGGGGCTATGTCTCCGTTGTGTAACCTCTCAAGTAGTGCAGACTCTTTGAAAACCCGCATGTCGTGCGCGCTGCCGGGATAGCCGATGAGGTAATCCCATATCCTGCCTCGTGCATCACATGTGATTTGGAGCTGAACGGCGTAGGCCGACTTCCTTGTCCGGTACTCCGCCCTGTGCCCTTCCATCCCTTTCATGTGGATGTGAGTCCCGTCCACAGCCCCCACCACTGCAGGTACACCTTTGATGGCAGCGAATTCACGCGCCATCTCGGGAAGTTCATCGCATGTGGGAAAGCGCACCCAGGCGGCCTTGAAGACTGAGGGGAACTCGGTGAGGAACACGTCAACAAGCTCGTGGCAGAGTGTCTTGGAGACACCGAACAGGTACGACATGTCGACGTATGATATCCCACTCGCCAAGTACTTTATTGGGATGAGCATAGCAGTGTCCATTGTGATTATCGACCGATGGACGATGGGCTCTAGATATTGTCGCATCCCAGACTTTACATGCTCAAGTATGGCGCGGTTGATCCTGAATATGTCTTGGAAATCGTTCTCCCGCATGTGTTGCAGGTCTTCAACCCACAAAGCATGACGTCGCCGCCGTACACTCGCTCTGTGACGGCGGTTCTCCCCGGTGTCGTCCCCGGACGATGAGGACTTCTCGTCCGTGTCCTCAAACACACCGAACTCTATGAGGCCTACGAAGGACTTCGCGACATTTTCGTAGAAAATGGTGTAGTAGTAGGTGACCCAGGCGACGAGGAGGCGTAGGATGAAGGGGATGGCTCTAGGCTCTGCCATCATGCGTGGATTATGCGTGTGTAGTAATGGTGTCTGTGCTATGTTTGATTATAAAAACTCACGTACTAGAAGAGGAGTTGCAGATGTATGTGCCGTTGAGGCAATTATTGGCACTGCGGAGGAGTACTGTACCCTCCGCGGCCTCCCTGGACATCACCAAGGATCTACCGCGGACCTGGAGGTGTTGGTGTATGTGCTGCGCAAGGACGAGTGGGCATGTTTATTCTCTGACCAATCACAAACGTTCGCACATAATTGTCGCGCGTCTGTACAGAGTCGCAATACATCGATCGATTGGGACATGCAAACTCGAGACATTTGAGCGCGACTCGGGCATATCGTGATTGGGACACATCGATTGGGACATGGTCCACAGCGGAATGTACCCTAAGGCTATGGTGTGGTACATCATACTCTCATAGCAACACCGTGTCAGAATCACTGTGCAGGAATGAATGAACTATGAATGAGTTGGGTTGGGTACAAGTACTAACCCTAAAGTGTTGTACCCCTTGTAGGCTAACCGACTATAGCCTAGAGAGAACACAAACAAATAGTTTGACACACCCCCATAGGCTAAGTGGGAGATAGAAAACACCACAGACGGTCACAAGACCAGTCAATCAAGAGAACAAAGCAAAGCAAAGCTCAGGGTGGATCTCAAGGACACCACACAATCTGAGCACAAGCAAGCGGCCACAAGGCCAGTTCACATGCAGAGTTATAATAGCAAGGCAGTACACTGATCACAAGCTAGCAAGAGTAAACAAGCAGGTATAAAGATATATATATATATGTGTACAACAAGAGCAAGTCAAGCAACCAGCAGGTGAGGCAGATTGGGCACAAGCCCAAGAGAAATGCAGAAGCGCTGATGATCACCAGACCCTAGGGCCTTGGTGAACACATTAGCAGTGTTGGCGGAGCTGACGACGCTGCTGCAGCTCACGCGCAAGGAAGTAGCGAAGATCAATGTGCTTCGTTATGTGCTCCAGTCTCTGCTCGTGACACAAGGCAAGCATTGCCTTGTTGTCGACGTACAGAACCGGAGGAGAACGAGGCCGCTCCCCCAAGTCGGTCAGCAGGTAGGTCAGCCAACGTAGCTCCTGTGCAGCCATGGCCCCAGCGTAGATCTCGGCCTCACAACTGGAGCTGAGAACTGAAGACGAGCGAGTAGACTGCCAAGAAACAGAGCCGGAACCGAGGCTGAAGGTGTAACCCTGTGACGACCGCTGCGTAGCTGAGTCGTCAACCCAAGAAGCCTCTGCGTGACCAGTCAGGAAAACTGGACCCCGTCCTCCAAGCACGAGCCCCATGCCTGACGTACTGCACAAGTAACGCAGTACCCTCTTCGCACCATCCCAGTGCACCTTTCGGTGCCTACCGGGAGCCACATAGCGAGCCAGAAGGCTGAGAGGGTACGCGTGTCCAACATTATATGTTTATATTGTGTAGGCTATAGTGGGTTTAGCCTTAGGGGGTACAGCTTTGTTAGGGTTTCCTACTTGTATCCCCCTCCTACCTAGTTTCATCCATTCTCGTTCTATTCTAGATTATAACATGGTATCACGAGCCTAGGTTGCTACCTAGGACCGCTTTCTACTATGGGCCCACTATTCCGCTAGAAGCGCCCTCGTGCGCCCTACCTTACGTGCGCCCTCGTGCGCCTTTCTCTGCTAGTGCGCCTTCGTGCGCCCTCGTGCGCCCTCGTGCGCCTTTCTCTGCTAGTGCGCCTTCGTGCGCCTTCGTGCGCCCTCGTGCGCCCTCGTGCGCCTTCGTGCGCCCTCGTGCGCCCTCGTGCGCCCTCGTGCGCCCTCGTGCGCCCTCGTGCGCCCTCGTGCGCCCTCGTGCGCCCTCGAGCGCCCTCGTGCGCCCTCGAGCCGCCCCTGCAGGTCCGTCAGGCCCCCGAGCCGCCTCTGCAGACCCGTCAGCCCCCCCCCCCCCGAGCCGCCTCTGCAGGCCCGTCAGGCCCGAGAGCCGCCCCTGCAGACTCGTCAGGCCCGCGCGCAACCTCTGCCCGACCGCGCGCCGCCCCTGCAGGCTCTCGCCGCCCGCCGCGTCGCCCTGCCCGCGGCGTCGCCGCCTGCCCGCGGCGTCGTCACCTGCCCGCGACGTAGCCCCTGCCCGCGGCGTCGTCGCCTGCCCGCGGCGTCGTCGCCTGCCCGCGGCGTCGTCGCCTGCCTGCGGCGTCGTCGCCTGCCCGCGACGTAGCCCCTGCCCGTGACGTCGTCGCCTGCCCGCGGCGTCGTCGCCGGCCCGCGGCGTCGTCACCTGCTCGCCGCGTCGCCCTGCCCGCGGCGTCGCCACCTGCTCGCGGCGTCGCCCTGCTCGCGGCGTCGTCACCTGCTCGCCGCGTCGCCCTGCCCGCGGCGTCGTCACCTGCCCGCCGCGTCGCCCTGCCCGCGGCGTCGCCACCTGCCCACCGCCTCGCCCTGCTCGCCGCGTCGCCCTGACCTAATCCGCGCCTGCCCTCTGGAGCAGCCGCCCCTGCAGCAGCCGCCCCTGGCCACTGGAGCAGCCGCCACTGCAGGAGCCGCCCCTCGCCCCTGGAGCAGCCACCGCTGCAGCAGCCGCCCCTGGCCCCTGGAGCAGCCGCCACTGCAGCAGCCGCCCCTGGCACCTGGAGCAGCTGCCGTCGCGGCCCGGCCTCGCCCTGCAGCAGCTGCCGCGGAGCTCCCTGCTGCGGCCCGACCCCGCCCTGCAGTTGTAGCGGCCCCGCTGTCGCCACCGTCTTGCGCCTGCCGCGCCGACCACTGGTGAGTTGCCCTGCCAGCACTGCTGCCGCTGCTACTGCTGCTACTGCCTTTTCTACTCCCACTGCTACTGCTCCTGCTGTTACTGCTGTTACTGCCGCTACTGCTGCTACTGCTGCTCCTGGCATGGCCAGATGCAGCTCCAGGGCCGTGCGCGTGAGTCCCTCACGCCCCAGCAGCTTCGTGAGTGGTACGCTAGTTGGGGCTGTCGGGGTGGCCGTAGTGGTAGTCGCTCTGGAGTGGGTCGGTCGGGAGCTTCTGGTAGTGGACAGGTGCAGCTGGCGTGTCCTCTTTCGCCCCAGCAGCTTCGTGCGTGGTACGCTAGTTGGGGCTGTCGGGGTGGCCGTAGTGGTAGCCGCTCTGGAGTGGGTCGGTCGGGAGCTTCTGGTAGTGGACAGGTGCAGCTGCCGTGTCCTCTTTCGCCCCAGCAGCTTCGTGAGTGGTACGCCAGTTGGGGCTGTCGGGGTGGCCGTAGTGGTAGTCGCTCTGGAGTGCGTCGTTCGGGAGCTTCTGGTAGTGGACAGGTGCAGCTGCCGTGTCCTGTGAGTGAGGCTGCCGCTCTAGGTGCTAGTGCGTCTGTTGCCCTAGGTGCTGGTGAGGCTACCACTCCCGGTACTCGCGTGTCTGCTACCCCAGGTGCTGGTGAGGCTGCTGCTCTAGGTGCTAGTGAGTCTGCGCCCCCTGGTACTGAGTCGACTGAGGCACTGCACACCTTCACTCTGGACTCAGGTGCTTCTCGCTGTTTCTTTCGTGACCGCACTGCCCTTGAGCCGCTTGCTCGGCCAGTTGCTGTCTCCCTCGCTGACCCCTCTGGGGGTCCGGTCATTGCGACCTCCTCCACTGTCCTTCCTTGTCCTGCGGTCCCGTCGGGCACACTGTCAGGTCTCCACCTCCCCTCGTTCTCTACGAACTTGGTGGCGGGTTGTGCGCTCCAGGACGGGGGTGTTCACCAGTTCACCCCTGCCTACGAGCGCGTGACACACTGCACGTGTGCTCGGACGGGC